GCGCTCTCACCTTCACGGCCAGGGTTCCCTCTGCAGTCAGGGAACCACACCACCGTCTGTCTCTGTTGGTTGTCATACTGTGGTGGCTGTGTATTGCTGTGATGCTGAAAGCTTTGCCACCAGTATTTCAAATACCATCAGGGTCACCCACGGTGGCTAGTTCTCAGCAGAACTTCCAGACTAAGAAGGACTAGGAAGAAGGACCTGGCCACGCACCTCCGAAACCCTGTGAATAGCAGTGGAGCATTGTCTGATATAACACTGGAAGGTGAGAGGATGGTGCAAAAAGAGTGGGCAGGGTTCCACTCCGCTGTACAGAGTCGCTAGGAGTCGGAATTGACTCAGTGGCACTAACAACAAACTAGGCTTTAACCAGCAGTCCAAACGCAGGCTAGGGTTTAGGGACATAAGGAGAATCTCTCAGGTATGCCCCCTGTCATGGTCTGGAATATAGGTGGAATCAACAGGCATGGGCTGAAAGGCAAAAGAAATGCTTCAAGGATACCCCAGAACACACCCTCAGAGAATGAGGTATAAATACCATCTCCTGGGAAATGACAACCTGAGCCCACTAAAATGTAGCAATCATCAAAAGGCTGGGTGTGCTCAATGGGGAGAGGAGAGAAGAGAGAGAGAGAGGCCCCGTGAATAGTAGCTCTGGCCACTAAACTTGGAGACACCACCTTGATGTTCAGTATGGAAAGGAGGGCACACCTACAATACATGGGAACTACAGCTTCAGTGTCTTATGAGTACAAAGAGCAAGACAATGACTGATTCTTATCTGAGCAGCTGTAGTAGTGGGTCCCCAGCTGCATGGCTCCCTGTGCCAAGGGGAAATGGAAAATACTATAATAGCCTCTCTTGTCTCCATTCCCTTTTCCTAGATGAGCTTTTTCCCACTGGAGCACTAGAGCGGGGCTTTCTTCCCCTTCTGGTACTCTGCCTGTCAGGGCCAGGGGCCAGCCTTACACCCACCTGATTGGAGGGGGCCTGAGTAGGCTCTGACCCAAGAAATTTCCTTTACAGGATCTGTCTTGAGGCAAGAAAGTCCAGCATGACAGATTCTTCACTTTGTCCTAAGGCTTCATAGACTAATAAAATCAAAATTTCCTCCCCGCAACTTATTCCACCTTCCAAATATATTACACATCATTGATACACATATTATGAATGAGTTTATCATATCCTCTCCAGAGAACACAATTTGAGGGAGGATAAATGTAGAGAGCTTGGTGAGAGTAACAGCTGGGAGGAGACAGATGAACTTGGTCAATTTCCCCTTGTCGGTTACGCAATAACAATAATGACAACAACAGTGGTGACATTTATTGATTATATGTGATCTCACCTTAGCCTCCCAACAACACTATTTACTAACCCTGTCCTACAAAATGAGGAAACTGAGCTACAGGAAATTACGCAACTTGCCCAAGGTCGCATGGCTAGTGCGTGGATAACCAAAGTTTGTGCACTTAATCTCTATGCTACACTGCTTCCTTGGAGAGAGGAGCAACTGTGGTGTTTCTCTTTCATACATCTCTTTGAAACCAGACCGCTCACAGTGGACTTAGCTGGATATTATGACCCAAACCTCTTAGGTCTCTTGTTTCCAAAACAAAAATGATGGCAGCCAAAGGTACAGTGGCATCAGCCAAGTTTTTTTCCTGCAGCTTGTTATCTGGAACTTAGTCTTTATGTCACGAGAACTTGTTTCTCCAGTCTATCTGCAATGAGCAACAAAGGTTGGAATCACAGTAGTTTTCCGAGTAGAACCTCAAATGGGACTTTAAAAGTCAGCAACATGTGTTCTAATTCATTGCTGTTAAGAGTCCTCTTTGAAGCCAAATAGACTTTCCACGTTCACATTCCAGAAATGTCCCCGCCCCTGCCCCCATGCTTTGCCTGGAAAAATCCTTCTTATCCTTCAAGGCCCAGCTCAAATGTCACCTGCTTTAGGAAGTCCTTCTTAGCCCCACAGGCAGAATTAATTGATCCTCCTCTGCGCTCCCACAGCACTTTATATTAGCACTGCCAGTATAGCCCTTACCACGTTGTTTTAGTTAGTTGCATAAGTAAGGTTCTTTAGGTCAGAGACCTGTCTTATTCATAAATCCTTTTATCCTCATATCGCCAGCCGAGCACATACCACATTTCACCAAATCTAAAACCCCATTGATTGTAAGATACACCATTATTTTATGAATCACTAAGGAAGATTAAAAAACCCTGACAATTATACTATGACATCCCATTGATTTGAAGATGTGTCCCAAATTCAGGAATGTCAAAATGTACAAAAAAAGAGAAAGACATGTCTTAGAAGTGATGAACGATGGTAATAAGTGCTTAGCAAATGCTTCTAGAACTGGATTGTATACCCAAGGTGGAGCAGATATTCCTAGAGCTCTGTGACAGCCCATGTTTTCTTAGTAAGTAAGGAATTGGGAGTTGGTGGGGAATGGTATGCAGTTGCATTGCTGATCTCAAATATTTTACCCAACAGATTAAAGGGGTGAGTGGCCTGATGTGCCCTTCCTGTTAAAAAAAAAAAAAAAAACCACCTCCACATATCCCATTTGATATACTAGAAGGTACATTGACAATATATTCTATCAAAATTGGGGGTCACCAAATGCAACAAGTGATGGTGATTACGGAGACAATGGGACAGAGTATTTGCATCTGCCTTGATTCTGGTTCTTTAAGCCAGCTCAATCCACTGTTGTTCCCATCTGTCCACAAAAAGGAATAGTAACTGGCCAGCCTTCTCCCAGCTTATTGCAGCCCTGCCTTTAAAAATAAAAGTATCAGGGCCAGCTCCGTGGCCGAGTGGTTAAGTTTGCGCGCTCCGCTGCGGCGGCCCAGGGTTCGGATCCTGGGCACGGACATGGCACCGCTCATCAGGCCACGTTGAGGCGGCGTCCCATATCCCACAACTAGTAGGACCTACAACTAAGATATACAACTGTGT